TGGCATTTAAAGCTTGGAGTTAAGGATTTTAAAAGTAACTATTAATTGGACACTATGGCTGCAATGAGAACACTCTGTTTACATTTGCTATGACATCTCAATATAAACAGTTCTGTAATAGTATATTTCGTACCTAGGGCCGAAACTGAGGTCATTTTTGGTCCGTGATACGAACACTATTTTTCACCACACTACGACTATTCACAATAATAATTAATGCACTGATTATTGACTAATAGTCAACGCAACTTTAAAATTATGTGAAGAAGTAATTACAGGAATCAGCAAAAATAATAATAAACTGTTGCTAGGCAACGAAGAAAATATAACAATTCTATTGCAATTGCTATGGTTACTGTTTGTGTATGGAAGTGGGCAGCTGATTTTGCGACCCTAGGGATGTATAAACCTGCCTGGTCCCCAAATGATGATGACAGCTGGCATGGCCAGCAAAACGTAACTTTCAGCCTCTAATTAACGTATGTAAAACAGCTAATAGCATCATAGTGTGGCGAAAAATTGATTTTGTTTTCCAATACCACACAGCTGGCTTGAGAAAATGAAATATATTATTCAGCAACACCATTTAGCAGGGTTTATTTAATTTAAGACAATTATTGACATTAATTAAGGAAACAAGCTAGATTCTATAGTTTTTGTTTGTAATAATCTAGGCTCTGTCTCTGAATTTTTTGAAATTATCATTACGCAAATTGTTGTATCAATAGATATTTGCATGTTAGCAAAATTAAAAAATTGCATATTTTTATAATTTTGATATTTTTTGTTTACGATTGTAGAGTATAGGCCTACATGTTTTTTCTTCCAAAGAAAGAATTTTATAGAAATATTTTTACGAATTCTAGGTTATAAGGTACTTTACTTTTAGACTACCTATTTCATAAATCCTAAGGGTTCTTACTCAGCGATAGCTGCTATGTTTTCAATAGCATAACCGCAATGCACGTTACACTTATACGCTAACCCCATAGGAAAGACGAGTACTTTGGTAGTAATTAATGGAATTTTGCAATGTATCAATTCATAAGTTCCTACCCTAGAAAAATATAAGTGTGGTATTCAGGAAAGTACTTACGTGATCCATTGCTAGAGGAAAACATCAGGTACGTTAATGGGTTGTTTGACTTTACTCTGACTCCGTTAAGTGTTTGTAGTCTTAAAAGGCCCATTAAGTGAAAATCCAACGACCTTTCGTAGGATAAATGTCAAACAATGTCTCAAAGTGGTATCGCTTCAAAAAATGTGAAGAACTTATTTACACTTTAAGTAGACTCAAGTTATCTTATATCAAAAGTACACATGTACTTTATGTCCTGGATCGTTGGACTTTCAATAGGTCTTGCCTGATGAAACAGCTGATCTTAGTCAGTAAAAATCTACATAAGGCATCACACTCCATTCTACACTCATACTCATATTTGGGTTAAAATACACACCTAGGTGGAGTCCCCATCTCAAATGAATATACATACCAGACTAACACTGTGGGTGAGGATTGATATCAACTTTAGTGCCAAATGAGTGTATGAGTTTTCTAAACGGCTTTTTTTTCTAAATATACACTATTAAGATAGTGATTTACTTTATGTAGGTACTGTAGTATGTGAATAGTAAAAGTCTGGATGTAAATAATGTAAATTAAAGAATGGATTTAGATGACTCGTACATAATTGATAATAAAAATTTGCTATCCTTAGAACCTTGAAGGTAATTTGTGTAGTGACCATAAATAAATATAAATGACGTTCCCATATTTTTTCCTAGTTTTGACCTATGTGACTTTTATATCGTTCTATTTTAACATATTATAGTTATAGCTATTTTATTTTTTCCATCATTTAGATTCACAAATCGTGATGCTGTGACCATCACGTGATGTGTGACATTTACGTTGAAAATCATTAGGAGATAAAATTGTTTAAAGAAGTGTGCTTGTGAGTTTATGGAATATCATGGTTTGAATATTTGTTATATGCTCTATTAAAATCCACCTGAAATCTTCAACCGAAACATTTGGTATTTTTTTGACGTTGGTGGACTTTACATGGTAAGTTTTCCTCGCCAAGAGAAAATACTAAAGAGACTCTGTCTAAAATCCGTTGTCAAGAATGTACTTTGTGTGTGTTTACTTTGCTAAATCGCCCAAAGATTCTTTCGTCGAGAAGAAAACTTTTTGCTGCAGGGAAATGGAAATATAAGCTATTCAAATCCTTAAAAGACGCAAACATATGTGGAATAAATAAGAAATGGGGGATTATTTAGTATGCCCCATGCTTTCATTTTTATAATCTTATACGTAAAAATACTTTAATTCGTTTAATCTTTATTGTTACCTTTTTTACAACGTACAACACAATAATACAGTCCACACAAGAAACTGCAATCACCAAGATAATTAATACCCATTAATAACTATCTTAGGCTAGAACCGATGTCGGTAGATTTATAACACTTTCCAAAGTTCTTCTAAGACTCGCTCAATATATTTTACTACCTTATCAAACTCTGTCCCATACGTGCAGAGAATGACCAACCAATCAGAACAAATCAAAGAAATTGCAGATCCCTAAAAATTATAATTTAATATTCGATGGAATTTTTTTATTCGTTATATCTTAAATGGGAAGGACTTGTCAATATTTTTATGTCCTTAAGATCAATACATACATCTACTTGTACGAAGTTGTATTATTTGTTAATTATTTAATAACAAATTCAGACGACAATAATAATTATTAGGAAGTAAAATTTGTGTAGAAGTCCTGCTATTATTTCCTTTGTACAAAACTGAAGATGTCTTTAGGCTGAACATACTAGAGTAACTAAGAACAGTTAGGGGGATAGACTTTGTTAAATATATTGAGAAAAACACTGAAATTAATTAAGAGCAAATTAATTGAGCAAAGCTTTTATGTATTTCCAATAAGAAGACAACCTATAAAAGACTAACAATAACCAACAACCTCATGTTTTAATATTCCAAAAGCCCAAATGTGTGTTAGAGCCAGACCAAAGGCAAAAATATTTATATTATTTTGTTGTATAGTCAAGCAACTAATGTATTAGGTTCAGGACTGTATTTGACTTGCAATGTAGGAGCCAGAAATCCTTGTAATCTTAAATAATTAAATTCTGTCATACTCTCACACAACAGTGAGGATTAATACATTGGTTTTATTACATTTAAATTATTATTTTTCACCGTCGAACAAACCCAATATTTTAATTATTCAATATTACTAAACCTTACAATTTGTCAAACTAAAAATATTGCATGTTAAATGCAAAACTATGTAAACATTATAAATAATAATTAAAAGATAAATATACAAAAGTATCATTTACTATAATCCATTTAAGTGATTGAGTGGTTTAAGTTTTCAAACAGTTTTATAGACCATTCACAGGATATAAAAGTAAACATTGCTATACAAATAAACATAATTATAGTTTTGTGTGGCTAAACAATCTGTATATATAATAATGTTAGAATATACAGAAGACTACAAAAAACTGCATTTTATGTTTCGCAAAACCCTCGGTTTTATATGTCTCGCAGCAGTCGGTAGCTTGTAATCAAATTAACGATGAAACATAGTTTTTGACAGCAGTGGGCCGAAAAAGCTCACTCCTTTACGGCGCATTTTCTACTCGAAACAACGGTGGAATTATTTTACACCTTTTACACTTTTTGATATAACGTTAAACCTTTTTATTTAGCTCTTAAATATTTTTGTGGAGTATTAGAAAATATCTAGTGGCTGTGAAAAACAAATAAATAAAATAAACTGTACTGACATAAATAGGTGTGTTAAAATTACATTTGGATGTGTAAATATTATGGTTTTTTAAAGTACCGATATACATGTATAAAATAACGGTATACAAAATATTAAGTAGAGAATTGTAATGAACATGAAGAATAATAGTAACAATCATTTAAATTAAATACATTTATGTGTATTGTATTAATATTACTTAATACAGAAATTTACAATAATTTAGATATACATCGATCTATACTATATGTATAATTGGTTTAAATATTTCTCCAATTAGTATAGTATTAGTAGTAGTTAGTATTGTTTAGTAGGCCAATATAAATAAATTGTATGAGTTTAACCGATAGTCATAACATTGTAACATACACCACCATATTTTGAATAGAAAGGTATACAATACATAAGTAAAAAGTTTCGTTTTAAATTTACAAGTTTGTAGTTATATTAATTTAGGTTACTGTATTATACAGTTTTCGAGTAAAAAATTAAAAAGCAAAAAAGATTTAAGAACTAGTAGCATACATTTTGGTAGCATACATAAAAGCTTAAGCAATATTAGGCGAAATATGGGTTTTTAACGTTATCTAGTAATATAATTGTTGAAACATGTTTCATTATTTCATTACGGAAGTGATTTTTGCAAGCCCTAATTGATCTTCAGGGAAATCTTGTTATCTTTAGCAATCTCTGTCTAATAAATTCTCATTAGGGTGAAGTTTGCGAGATTTTATAATCTCTTTACTTACTTCTATCCTTCAAGCTAAACTTCCGTTTAGTTCTTAGATTCAGTCATTTTATATTATACTTTTCAAATAAATAACCCGAGCAAATGCAAGTCGTAATTTTGGAAAATAAATAATAAATAAATAAATGCTAGTTATACTTTACAATTCGTTAATTACATTAGACAAAAATAAAAATAGGATTACGACAAAAATATATTAAATAATAAAGCGAAAATCATTAGTTTGTGTAACTTATCATTGTATTGAATTATAATTTGAAAGAAGAAACACCATAATAGCATTTTCACCCTAAGATGAGATTTCAAAATATATTTTTTATGTTAATATCAATCAAGATTTTATGGGCAGTTAACTGAATGATTTTCTAACACTAATATTATTTACAAATTATTAACATTTTTCAAAAAGACATTGAAATAAAAAAATAGTCATATCTCTTTTTGTTTCTTACTTGTAATTTTCGGCCTTAAGATGTCACATATTCCATAAAGTGTCGTCGTTCCGTGCTCACCCGCGGTTACGCTTACACTGAGAAATAGAGGGGTAGGTCACCTCTTCCCCCCCTTATGTACCCCCTTCAAACCAACCCCATTGTTGTACCCAGCTCAGCCCGGGGAAGTATTGTTGCACGTTTCCACTTTCCAGTAATATCATTCAAAACTTGTATTTAATTTCGAGTTAAAAATGTCCTCGAAAATAAATCAGCCGTCTAAATTATTGGAATAACACCGGGGATACATTTTTTGTCCGTAATTACTTGTAATCATGTAATTTTTTGTATTATGTTTACCGTCCCTGACAATATTCGTGGTTTTTTAGGTTTTTTTTCTGACGACAAGAAGTGAGACGGTAATTTCTTAAAAGAAAAATTGTTCTTGGAAAATCGTCTGAAAATATAATAGTGAGATATGTCCTGTGTTTTGAAGTTACATTTTTTTAGGGTATTGTAATTTTTCTAGAAACTTAACACCAGAAAAACTCAGTTTCGTGTAGGCCTATTTGTAGGAACGATCAGACTTCCAAATTATTCAAAACTATACACGAGCAGATGGTATTGAACAACATTATTCATCAACAATTAAAAACTATCTGAAAACTACAGCAAAATGTTATATCGTTTTTAATCCATTGTTGGTAAACAACAATTACAATACAATGAAATTCACAGATCAAAAATGAATCTTTGATTTCACAATTTAGTCAAAAATATAAGATATATTACTATTAATTTTTTCATCAGTGTGTTTGCATATGTTTCGTCGCATATAAAAACATAGTATTATTTAAAAAAAATTAATGCATCAATTGTACTTAGTACTCTGTACTGAAATCAAGAATTTCACTAATTCATTCATCTACTCCTATGATTCTAGCTGTACATAGGCCAGAGTAGATTGTATAACCCGTACAAAATTTTTCCTTTATGATTATCCATAGTCTGTCGATGAAAAAAAGGAAATAAACATACTAAGTGTTCAGCACAACATTATAGGTTATGAAAATGTTCCCTTTTACAAAACCGGGCTACACAAACGGTGGTTTTACAGTTAAGAACTGTTATTTTACGACAACGCCATAATCCGGTGCGAGATTACTTGTTTCCTTAAAGTATTTACTTGAGTCATTAGCTAAAAGCTTTCTGGTTATGTTGGTCAGGAAGTTTATAGTCGTATGTTAAAGTTTTGGTCTTGAGAAACCAAGGTTATGGCGCAAAACTAACTTGAGAACCTTGGTTAGTTGGACAACATGAATTGTATTAATGTCTAGCTGTGCGTTTTCCTTATGAGATTTCTTTCATCTGATCATAAATAAATGTAATGTGAAAAAACACTTTTTATTACTATTATTATTGAAGGAGTTTAACGTCTCTAGAGGAACCAGGGTCTCAAGAACATATTACACTAAAACCGTACTTTCAGCAAAGAAAATTTACCAAATTTTGAACCTAAACAACATATTAGCCCCAGTCTTAATCAAACGTTAAAAACGTATGCACAGGCTAGTCTATACAACTCTCAAGTACTTTTTTTCACGACCATTATAAAGTAAAATTTTGTATCCTGAAATTGTAAGACTTATATGAGCCCAAAATATGAATTACATAGTTGGATGATGACTAGTATTATTAATTATTATGACTGACAACATCACAGGCTACAGCATCTCGAAAGTTTTCGTCAAAGGTACACCTTAACTACTATTATTTAAGCTGGTTTAGTATTGTTGCAATTATTTATCATGACATAATTATTATGTATAAGATTAATAATTAATTAAATCAGTAAATATTGTAGCTTTGTAATATCTTTTCATCCATTATAGCGTGAAGCCATTATACACAACTTTCTCAATCCAATTCAATTCAATTTTGGTTTTACAACGGACTTTAAATATGTAAAAATGATCGTAAGTAGAAAAACACTTCCTGAAGTACCATGGATAAAATAGTAACGTTTTATTAACATAATAATTTAAATTGCAAAATAAAAAAAAGTTAACTTTGAAATATAACACAAACATTTAAAAGAAACAACACGTACTCTGTGGGGTAATCAATTAAAATAATTTGCAACTGATCTTTTTTTTAATAAATATCCTATAGAATATGGTGGCTATCCAAAAATGAATTTTAACGTTTTAAGCTTCCACAATAGTAAACCCTGACCAAAATGTATCCCAATGGAGTTTTTACCAACAAAAGACGCTTTAATGGAACAATTCATGTAGTGAAACCAATAAAATGGAGATGTGCAAAAACCATCGGTATAACAAATTATACATTCTCTGCTGGAAATCTGTATTTTTATATTTTCTTTATTAGGCTATATCGTTTGTGGTTTAAATTAAATTAAATTAAATTTGGTTAGGTTAAATACGCTATATTAGGAATATCATATTTTTATCACTTGCGAACGGTAATCAATACAGCAATAAAGGGTTGCACGATTTAGTTTAGAATTATAAGGGCTATAAATACTAATTTTAATCAAAACAGTGTTTTTTGAAAATCTAATTTTAGGTTATTTTATGGGTTTTTATAGGGAAAATAACATAAGTTACAATAACCTTTGAACCATAATCTATACAACAATGGTAGTGGTAACATCTTGTTTAGAAATTAAAATACTATAAAATACTGAATTTTATCCAAGTCGTTCGGGCCATTTTCGAGAAAATTCGATAATTCAGTTATTTTATAGGTTTTATGAAAAAATTGCCGTTAAATAAAAAGTTCAAAAAAGTATAAAAAAAACGGCTGGAGAGACCATGGATTAGTACCTAAATACCAAATTACAAACGACAGGTGTAGTCCGTAGCTCTTTTTATTTAGCCTACACATACAGTTGTTTGTGTTAGTAAATAAATATACACATAGACATTTACATAGTACAGACATAGTACATAAATATACACATAGACAGACATCACTTCGAAAACTACTTTTTTGGGTTCAGGGTAACACGAAATAGATATTTCCACCAAAAATGATTTGAAAATTTAAACGAAAATTATGTTTCTGCACATAATTTGAATAAGAAGAAAATGTAAAAAGCAAGAAACCAGAAAGTGTAGGCGCTTGGACGTGTTCCTTGGTTTCACAAACCGTCCTACTACCAACTCAGCCACCAGCTCATTATTATTATTATTTTTTTTACGGAAAAAAGTTATAAGCATTTTAAGCGGTTGTCGTTTACCAACATTACAAGTGATTGAATTTGTAAATATCTCACAAACATTTTTTAACAAGAAATTCAATAATTTAACTGTGAAATCGGCTAAATTTATTTCAACGTGAAGATAATTATCGAAATTATCGGTCAACTACTGGCACGTAAACTCATAAATCAATAAAGAAGCTCAGGATTTATTAATTTAGCACCAGGTGTGCAGGGTATTTCCCACTGACAATGCACACAATTAATAGTGACAATCTTCCTACCAAGAGATTATTTTACTAAGTATATTAATTATGTTTCTGTTAACCAAGCAAATTCAATTATGTACGTCTAGAACATTAGGTGATGATAAATCTGTAACGGCAAAGGCAAAGGCTAACACATAGACCTAGGTTATCTTTAAGTTGTTTTTTATTTTTTTTTTTACATATTGTAAAAATTGTAAATATCTAAAGTGCTAAAATCTGATATAAACTTATATTTGTTGTAAAGTCTTAATATATTAAAATAAAATAAAACATTTATGTAAATATATGTGAGCAAAATGTGCTGTTTTAATTAACGAAAAACACTGACGTTTTTATACACTTTTTAAAATCACATTTTGGTTTTATTTATTGACCTTTTTAAAACAATTTTCTCCTATTGTTTGGCTCACGGTATTTCCGTTTTAAGTGTTTACAGTGTTGTTAGTATATTTAATACAGAGATTACAATATTAGGATATATTAAGTTATCTTTGCCAGTTAACAAATGCTTGAATGACTGAATAATCTATTTGTTTTTTTATCTAGTAGGAAGTAACGTCAAATTGAATTTCTTGGTTATATTTCTTTGCACACGTAACATCCTGTACAATTCACTAAAGATGTAAATATTTCCGTAACTGAGCACTCAATTGGTAGAAGTCTTCACAATTAACGATGTGCAATTTCCTGAAATATTTCCACCACATAACGCTTCGCTTGGAGGCTCCAATGTTCCCGTGATTGTATCCGACCAAAACATTCCCATACCTTTCACCAGCTTACACAAAGAAGGAATGCAAACAGTTTATCTCCGGTTTTGAGTATAGTTTAATTTCAATCGGTTTTCTATTCTGTCGGTTTTAATCCGTAATGAATCTACATAACTAATTGCATTTGCTCCAAACTAAATTTCACGCATTGCTTTATACGTGATCCTAGAGGTAACCATTTCAAAATAGTAATGAAGTGATACTTTTATAGTAATAGGATGTCTAATAAAATGTGTTATAACTAACTATTCCGTATTCTGTAAAAAAACACACACAATATTAAGTAAACACATATTATGGTGGTTATACGAATTGATAAACACAATTTTTGAACATTTCTTTTAGAAAAGTATATTGTGCCGAAGCATGAAGACATAGACATCTTTTTAAATATGTACTATCCTAGCCTTACAATTAAAAAATGTCAGAGTTGCGTTATAGCTACAGTTTACTCCACACCAATAAGTGCTTTTCTCATTTACGTTCACTTTCAAATGTATATAATCCCGATATGAAAATATCCAAATTAACTAATTTCTAATTAAACTCAGCTCGAGAGTTTACTTCACCGTAAAAATTAGGAACTAATCTGTTAAAAGGAGAAATGTTCAATGGAAATGAAAATGTTCAGTGGAGAAAAAAATGGTCAGTTAAATTTGATTAAGACCGACCTATAATTTCAGTCCGACATTGGAAATTCAAGATTTTATTAAAATAAGATCTTTCTGGGAGCTGCGTTTATTTGTTTTCTTAGTTTTTTTTTATTGTAAAAGTGTATTGTAACCATACATTTACATTTAAAATGTTAACT